CTTTTGGTTAAGGTTAGGATAGCAAAGGTAGAAGAGAGCAGCCCTCTCAAATTGGTTGGGACCTTTTGTATTGCCTCAGGCTTCTTGCATTTTGAATATATCAGTAACGAAAGGGATACCTTGCACCCTCATTTGTTTCCCGGTGCTTTTTCCGAAAATAATAGTTGTATCAAAGTATTATGCAAGGATTAATTTAAACAGATTTGCAAAGTTGTTGTGTGTTAATCTTTAGGTATGTTCGGCATGTTAACCTCTTTTTCTTATTATGATAAGTTCCACCTTTATCTATGCAACAATATTCAACTAGGTGAATTCGAGAGTCCCTTGCTCTCCTAGAAATGCTCAACAGAGCCTTAACACAAAAGACACCAAAAAGATAAAAAAAAAAACACTCTCCCCCTTTAGAGTAGAGTATATAGCCCCTCATAACTAACTATATTCCTTTGGGCCTACTAGAATAACCGTATGCTTTTCTATTCCTTACGTGTCCCTTGCCCCCCTACTTTCTTATGTACATAAACTTTAGTAATTGGGGGTCTATCACTACCCGCCCTCCAAAGAGCCACCTTGTCCTGAAGGTGGAAATCCATAAATTGGGAAGAAATAGTTGCAGCCTCCCAAGTAGCATCTTCAATAGTACCGCCTCCCCAATGGATGCGCACTTCTAAACCATCAACACCATGTTGTGACTTGCATAAGCCTAAAACTTCGTTTGGGCGAATTTTTATTTTTACAGTAAGATCAACAGAAAAGGATGGCCGGATAGAGAAAGGGCAAGTTACTCCCTATGGCCTTTCGAAGCTATGAGACATGGAAAACAAGGTGGATGGACATCCCTTCGGGTAAAGTGAAATTGTAGGCAATCGGGCCGATGCAGGCCAGTATACAGAAAGGGCCAATAAGCTGCAGGGCAAGCCTCAGATGAGCATGTTTCAGTTGGAAGGATTGACGATATGGCCTTAGTTTCATATACACCCAATCATTGACATTGAATTCTACATCCCAACTTCCCATTGGCTGCAGCCACCATACGTTGATGTGACTTTAATGTAGCTAGCATGGCATAACGCTCTCGCAGTTGGGAATCAACCTTGGCTAATGCAGAAAAATCAGAATTATAGGAGATCAGGCCGGGTGAGGGCACCCATATACAACCTCAAAGGGAGTCTTCTTAATGGAGGAGTGATGGGAGGTATTATAACTGAACTCAGCCCAAGATAACCACTTTGCCCATTTAGGGAGTTGTCTAGTAAAACAACGAAGATCTGCTCTGTTTTAGTTAGGTCTCTAGGCAGCGGAAGAGTTCCTCCCAAAACTTGCAGTGGTTGAAGGAGGCCAGACGGGGCTAAAGATAGGTACTTAGCCTGTTGATAAACAGAACAATCAGCCACAAATGCTTTAACTCTCGCCTTCATTCTTTTCCAATACACCTCACGGGCTATTCACTAATACGTTTTCAGTGCACCACCATGACCACCCACCAGGCCGTTATGTAATTCCTGTAATAAAAGAGGAATGGCGGGAGAGCTAGGAGACATAGGAGGTAAAACTGGAATGGCAGGAGAGCTAGGAGAGGTAGGAGGTAAAATTAACTTAACTCGGTAAAGGAGTAGGTCACCGTGGATAGAATATCGTGTTGGAAATTTCTTCCCTTCACGGTTTGTTTGTCGTATCTCACTCAACTCCTAATCATTATCAATCTGATCAACAAACAAAGTGGTATTGAGCCCATTTTGGCACTGCCACTACGGTTGCTGTCAATTCCCCTGCATAAACTGCCTTCAATTTCTTGGTCTTTGGCTTATTGAATTAATTACAGAACAATTATATTGGCCTCAACACTTAAACATTCAAATTTTTGTTGTTTGTTAACTGCTATTACCTCTCCAGCTTGGGTGTACAAAATAGAGAGAAAGAATTGGTTTTATTTTCCTTTTGCCATTAATAATGTGTAATTCTTAACTCTTCATTTTTTGTCACCTCACAGAGAAGGGGACTGTGTTATAAAAGATGTAAGGTTATTTGTTCTTATGCTATGTTAATGAATTATTAATATTTGCTAGTTTTATAACGTAGTTGAGTTTTCTAATGCAGTGGAAATTAAAGCCAACCAACCAAACTCTGCTGTTTTAAAATGTGCTTTTGCATGAGAATCTGGCTCCAGTATTTGGTGTGCTGGAAACTGGAATTTTGGAAGTCCCCGTAATTTGCATGGCCCTTCTTTAACGTCATGATCTTGTTCCGTCGGCAGCACATTCGGAGAAATTTTACAGTTTCGGTGGTCGCTGGCACAGAGACGAAGGATCTTCATTTTCTGAATTCAAAATCTGAATCTTTAAACCAAAACTCCTATTTAGAAAACCATATAAATGTGGCCGAAGCTAACATCCAGTTGAAACAATTAGTGAGAACCGGTCACTTGAAAGATGCACGCGAGCTGTTCGATCAAATGCCTGAAAAGGATGAGGTTTCGTGGACTAATGTTATTTCTGGGTACGTCAATGCCTCAGACATCTATGAGGCATTGCTTTTGTTTTCAAAGATACGGCTTCAACCTGAGCTCCGAATTGACCCCTTTGTGCTTAGTCTTGGTCTTAAGGCTTGTGGGCTCGATATGAATTACTACTATGGTACAAAATTGCATGGGTATTCTGTCAAAACAGGTTTAGTCAACTCTGTTTTTGTGGGTAGTGCTCTCCTTGACATGTATATGAAAATTGGAGAAATTGGGCGGAGTTGTAAAGTGTTCGATGAAATGCCTACAAGAAATGCAGTGACTTGGACGGCAGTCATAACTGGGCTTGTTCGTGCAGGGTATAATGAAGAAGGGTTGGTTTACTTTTCTAAAATGGGGAGGTCGAAGGTGGAATATGACTCATTTGCATATGCTATAGCGCTGAAGGCCACGGCTGATTCAGGTGCACTGAATCATGGAAGAGCAATTCATACACAGACATTGAAGAAAGGATTCGAGGAGAACTCCTTTGTGGCTAATTCACTGGCTAGCATGTATAACAAATGCGGTAAGCTAGATTATGGTTTGTATATGTTTGGGAAGATGAGGACACCAGATGTTGTTTCTTGGACGACGATTATAACGTCATACGTTCAAATGGGGGAGGAGGAACGTGGGCTTCAAGCATTTAGAAGAATGCACGAGAGCAATGTGATTCCAAATGAATATACCTTTGCTGCTGTTATCTCTGGTTGTGCTAATCTTTCAATGTTGAAGTGGGGGCAACAGCTGCATGCTCGTGTTTTATGTGTGGGTTTTCTGAATTCTTTGTCCGTGGCAAATTCTATCATGACCATGTACTCAAAATGTGGGGAGCTAGCTTCAGTTTCAAAATTATTTTGTACAATGATTTTTAGAGACATCATTTCATGGAGCACTATAATTGCAGCATCTTCTCAAGCATGTTATGGTGAAGAAGCTTTCAGGTATCTATCACGGATGAGAAGTGAAGGACCAAAACCTAACGAGTTCGCTCTGGCTAGTGTTCTAAGTGTATGTGGAAGTATGGCGATTCTCGAGCAAGGAAAGCAACTGCATGCTCATGTTCTGTCTGTTGGGTTAGAACAAACATCCATGATATGTAGTGCTCTCATCATTATGTACGCAAAATGCGGTAGCATCATGGAAGCTTCAAAAATCTTTATGGATTCATTGAAAGATGACATTATTTCATGGACAGCCATGATCAGTGGGTATGCTGAACATGGACATAGCCAAGAAGCCATTGAATTGTTTGAGAATATCCAAAAGGTTGGTTTGAGACCAGATCCCGTAACCTTTATTGGTGTTCTTACTGCTTGTAGCCATGCAGGAATGGTTGACCTTGGTTTCCACTACTTCAATTCAATGAGCAAAGATTATCACATCAGTCCTACAAAAGAACACTATGGATGTATGATTGATCTTCTCTGTCGAGCAGGACGATTGAGTGATGCAGAGGGCTTGATCAGAAGCATGCCGTTTCAACGGGACGATGTTGTCTGGTCTACTTTGCTGAGGGCATGTAGAATCCATGGTGATGTTGACTGTGGACAACGCGCTGCTGCTGAAGTTCTAAAATTAGATCCAAATTGTGCTGGGACTCACATAACCTTAGCTAACATTTATGCTGCCAAAGGAAAGTGGAGGGAAGCAGCAAATATAAGAATGTTAATGAAATCAAAGGGGGTGGTGAAGGAGCCAGGATGGTCTTCAATAAAGGTCAAGGGTAGCATTTTCGCGTTTGTTGCTGGAGATCGATCTCATCCACAAGGAGAAGACATATTCAGTATGTTGGAGTTGTTGGCTTCGAGAATGGAAATTTATATTCTTGAGCTGGAGCATTTAGTAACTGATGTGGAAGAATAGCAAACCATCATGGTAGTTCATGTTCAAGGGGACTAGGGTTAATTAAGAGGGAATGAGTTCAAACCCTATGATGGCCATCTATCTTAGGAATTAGTAATTCTTATATGTTAAGCTGGTCCACTAGCAGAATATTTGATTTGTACACTGCAACGTTAGAGATGTCAAGCATGTCTTGAGGGATATGTGGAAGATTTTTTTAGAATATTTTTCAGAAGAGGAATAGATAATCGAGCAGAAGAATTACAAGCATGTTGGTTTAGCCTTATATTTAGTCTTGAAACTGGATTCAATCGATGAATTATACCTCTTGAAAAATAATCTGAGTGATTAGTGTAACCTACGAATAACAGTCGTTTTCGTAATTTAGATTGTAGAAGAACAAGTGCAGTCGTTTACGGAGAAGATGGATTTCAAACTAGTGAAAGTTTGAAACTTTCAAGAGATTTTATACTCTTCAAAGATTCTTCAAAACTACAAATGAAATTTTTTGTCTTCTATAAGCCAGGAAATGATTCAATCAATTTTCCGTTCTATTGAAAAAAATCTAGTATAAAATATACTTCTAGTCCTTGAGTTTAAGGAGAGATTTCTATTTGATCTATAAATTTAAAAACGGGTGTTCGACCTTTAGAAAATGTTTCTAAAAAGTTCATGGAGTCAAACTCATGTTAGTATTACTAACGAAATATTGACGTAGAAATTAGAGGTATTAGATGACATTTGCTTATGTATTTATATCCCAACTTGTTTTTCATTGACACAATTCTCACTCGAAATCAGCAGATCAAATTAAATTCTCGGAGCACGGATTCGTCTTCAAAAAAAGACACTGAGGATCCCATTTAAGATTAATACTTGTCAGTTACATATACAACATAAAACTGTACATGTGACTAAAATTATTTTTCATCATTAAACCAATTGTTTATGACATAAGTAACGAAGCCTACACATAATCAGAAGCCCCCAAGACAGCAACTTGTATCCACAGATTGGTTGCAAAAGCTTCCATAACCACAGCCTTCCAGAAAAAATACCACAAAATGCAGAAGGAACAAAGGAAGAATAAGCACTTAATCCTCCATCCATTATATTTCATTTTTCATAATCAAGCTAAAAAGACTGTTTCATAATTTTTTATTGGTTAGAAGTTGAGAAATGACACAACAACCTACGATCTAAATTTGTAATTTAACCTTTTCTATTTAATGACATAACCTGAGTTTGTTTGTTTGTTTTATTGTTATTGTTATTTTGTATGTGGGGAGCTTCAAACTAAACATTTAATTCAATTGCAACAGGTGCCAAATTGCAACAATCCTGATAAGGACTTCAGCTACAAAAACACAAGTACAAGCATTATCTTCTGCCAGGTTCAACTAAAATGATGAGATGAGGAATAAACTTACAAAATATAAACCAAATATGAAGTAAAGTCCACAGACAGACAATGGTATTGCATTAACACCTAGCCATTCCACCGCTGCAACAACATCAGAAGTAGTATTAAAAATAAACCTTGATCAATTGAAGTTCTCATAACTGAGATTTTTTTATTACAAGCTTTGGAGCCCCACAGCATAAAATTAGGAGAACAAGAAGAAAGATAATATGCTTGGTGCATGCATGAGGGTCTGGAATGTCAGGAAATAGTGAATTTCAGCATAAGGGCACTCCTTGAAGGAAACGACCTTACTTGAACCTGATATATTTTATAGGTTGTACCACTGTGTCCTTGAGTTCTAAAGATAGTAATGAAGGATAAAAATAGGAAATATGATCTTTGTGCTTGGCGGTTTGTTATTCTGAAGAGGGTAGAAAGTAAGGAAAGTGATCAAGGATGTCTCGATGTGTGAAGATATCCTTCAAAGTCATGAGTTCAAGTTCTCGAGTTTAATACTTAATAATTGAAAATTAATGTTGTGTTTCATAGTTGGCCTAGATTGGGCAAGCTTCATCAGAGATGAGTGGGATGCACCATGAGCATAATACAAGAAGTGGGATCCCGATACTCCATTTAAGAAAAAACAAGGTTAGAAAAGTGCTCTCTAGAAATGGAAAATGCTTGAACCATTCAATCACATTCTTTAACTAGAGCTTTGAAAATGAAAGTTCTTCCAAAGTTGTACAACTTGATATCAAGGAGCAAAGTATCAATGTAGTATGAAAAGTCATTCCACACAGTTAAACGGTGGAAGTTGTAATAGAAGTAATTTGTAAGGTTTCTCCTCACTTTTGGAATAGAAATCAATAGATGAAGCCCGTAGGCGGTACAACGTCACCCCACCAATTCGAGAGGGTGGGTGTTCTCTCCACAAACTACCTTTCCGCACTCACAACAAGCATAATCCCCTTCTACCTTACTCATTCCATTTCTACACTCACTCCCCATATTACATTCCTGGGCCCCGCACCTCAAACCGTTACTCATTCCCATTATTCCTCTACCCCTAGTACAATTCTCTTTCTACCCTTTCTATAGTAAGTCTTCACTATTGGTGGCCTAATAACTTCTCCTTATGTCAGCTCCACCTTGTCCTCAAGGGGGAAATCAAGGAACTGTTGCTACATATCACAGAAAGTCTCTCATGTCGTTTATTGTTCTGGTAATCCCTTCCATCGTATTAGAGCCTTTTCCAATCATCTCGTTGACCCCAGTGGCAAACACCTCCTCAGGCTCAGCTATCCATTCCAAGTCACTAGTGAACTGTGGTGGAATGTGTTGCACCAATAAATTAGTATCTTTGGCTTTCTTGAGCAATGATACATGAAATACAGGATGGATGACTACGTCAGCTGGCAACTCCAACTTATATGCAACGGATCCCACACGTTGTACTATCTTGTAGGGACCAAATTATTTGGCTGCGAGTTTCTCACTGCGTCGTTTGGCAAAGGACTTCTATCGATATGGTCGAAGCTTCAAGAAAACCTTATCCCCAATTAGAAACTCTACCTGAGTGCGGTGGCTATCCGTATACTTCTTCATGCGATTTTGAGCACGGGACAAAGTCTCCTTCAGAGCCGTCAGGGCTGTATCTCGTTCAGCAAATTGTTGGTCCAAAGTAGCATTGGTCGTGCACTGACTACCATATGATATTAGAGGGGACGGTGGACGACCATAGACAGCTTGAAATGGCGTGGCACCCAAAGAGATGTGGAAGGTAGTATTATACCAATACTTCCCCCATGGAAGCCATTGTCCCTAAGTTCAAAGGGAGTTACCACAGAAGCATCGGAGATAGGTTTATAGGCATTTGTTCACAATCTCCGTTTGGCCATCCCGTTTGTGGATGGTAGGCTGTGTTGCGTTTTAACTTAGTCCCCCTTATCCAAAAAAGCTCTGTCCAAAAATGACTAAGGAAGACTTTATCCCAATCTGAGATTATAGACTGATGAAAGCCATGGAGACGCACCACCTCCTTAACAAAAGCAGTGGCCATTGATTTAGCAGAGAAATGATGGCTGAGGGGAATGAAATGAGCACACTTGCTCAAACGATCGACCACCACAAAAATAGTGTCGTACCCCGCGGATTTCGATAGACCTTCTAGAAAGTCCATAGTTATGTGTCTTCCCAAATGCGCTCAGGGATCGTCAAATGTTGGAGCAATCGACGGGGGACACAGTTGAGGACTTGTTCGTGGGCATACACAACATTCCTCTACAAATTTCTTAACATCAGGCTTCATACCATGCCAAAACAGTTCCTCTATGATTCGCTTGTAAGCCACTCAACAGGTCATAATAATCATATTGTTGCAAGCTTAATTCAAGATGCAGTCTTTTCACACATAGATTGGTGATATAATCATTTGTCTCAGTTTTGGAAGAAATACCATATCCTTATCAAATGCAGATATGAGAAAATTCTTTAGTAAGAAAAGTTATAAATTAATGCAAAACACAAAATTGAATGGGAGTTATATAATATTTCGATTTTCTAATCAAGAAATTTGAACTAGAATTTTGTATCAAATGCTTGCAGTTACTAAAGGACGCAGGACAAATTTAATGAGAGTTTAACATATAAAGTTGCACTTTGAGAATAAATCAAAATGCCTAAATTAATTATGCTTTTCTAATACGCGACAACTCAAGCATATGGACTTATATAGCCTATAGCCACTTGAATCCAATTGTATAATTGGTTTCAACCCGAAAGAGAAATGTTAGACGAATTACCTTTACGGTCAGTTACTTGTTGCAGATAGATGACTCACTATGCTCTAGGTTGAAAACACTTCACGAGTTTGGTGACCAACCAAACAAGCATGCTCCAATGGGAAATAATGAAGTCCTAACTTCGACCACAAACAGG